GCTGGGGTCTCTTTAGAGGCTCAGAATCCTCTCCAACCTAATTCAGGTAGTTGGCAGAATTCAGAGCCTGTGGCTGTGGGACTTAAGTTCTTGTTTTCTTGCTGGCTGTCAGCCAGGGATCACTCTCAGCTTCTAGCAGCTGCCTTCAGGTCCTAGCCAATGGCACTCTCACAACATGGCATCTTACTTCTTCAAAGCCAGCAGGAGAATCACCCTCCAGCTGGCTATAGTGGAGTCTTATAAACTCTAACGTGACCACTGGAACGACTATTCCATCACCTTTGTCATATAATGTAACGTAGCCAAGGGAATGACGAATATCTCGTCATATTCACACGTCCCTCCCACACTGGATGGAGGGGATGATACAGTGTACTTATACCAGGGAGGCTACTTGGGGGCTATCATGGAGCTCTGCCTACCGCAAATACTTAACGATTCAACACAGAGCAAACATGTATTGAGTTTACTAAATATCCAGCACTGTGCCACAACTTGGGGTACAAAGCTGCATACAACAAATCAGGAATTCAAAGATAAATACGGAAGCCCATAGCATAATGGAAGAGACAGAATTGAAAATTAATTATTAAACAAGTTGGCACGTTTACAATAGTTGAAGGTGGGAAGTACCCAGAAAAGAGAATGAAAGAGGTGATGTATGGCTCAATGGATGTTTTCTAGGCATAGTAAAGAAAAGGGAATTTCAGGCAGAAGGCAGGGTTATCTACACAAGTGTGGAGGTGCTGCAAAGCCTGTTTGAGAGACTATGAATGGTGAAGCTGGAATGGAATGGAAGGGGGCCTGCGTCAAAGGCCAGACCCGGAAGGACACAGAACTTAAGGCAGGAACCACCACAGAAATCTGTTAAGGGACATTAACAAATTAATATCACAGAGGCCAAGGGCCGGCCGAGTGGCACGATGGTTAAGAACTGACTTGGGATGCCAGAGGGCTCCAGTTCGGATCCCACATATGAGGGCCAATGACACTGCCCTCCATAGCTAAGATGCTGAACAACAGCTCAACCTGGAGCTGGGCTGCCTTGAGTTGCGCGACAGCATACGCTGCAACCCCTGTGGCAGTGGGTTGCCATGGGCTACCGTGTGTGGCCAGCAGCCACCGTGAGCGGCCAGCAGCCACAGTGAGCGGCCGTCCAGAAGCCAGCGACTGATCTGCCTCGCCCGGGAAGAGCGCAATGATGATGCCAACTTGGGCCAGTGAAGCCACGTCCTCCACAACTAGACTGAAGAAGAAAAGGACAGCAACTTGTCTGTTCCCCTTCCCCCAATTCCCCAGCGCTGCTTCCATCCCATAATTCCCCAATAAAAGAATTTTAAAAAAAAAAAAAAAAGATCACAGAGGCCAAGTTGTACAAAGAAAAAAAATTGACTCCATAAAAATAATTAAAACTTTTGCATAAACAAGCACAATTAAAGAACAGAAGTTTCATACAAATTAATAACAAAAAGACCAATGAGCAAAAGATAAGAAAAAGCAATTAACAGAAGATATGCAAAAGACTGATAAACAGGGAAAAGAGTTTATCATCACTTATGATTAAGAAAAGTGAAATTAAAATCGTGAGATATCAGTTTTGGCTATGAAATTGTTAACAGCTATATACAAACATGTATATATGTATGGACAATACATCAAAGGTTAATCAGGTGTAGAGATTTTTTTGATATTTTTGTTTTCTTCTTTATACTCTTGTTTTCTAAATTTCCTCAGTGAACCTGTATAAATTCTTAACATAATATGGTCATTTAAGAAATAGAGCTTCCAATGAAAAACAGTCCCTGCTCAGCTAATTCACCCCTAGAGGCAACGACTCTCAGCTTTTCTAGTTCATTTTTCTGGTATTTACCTCCATATTTCTAAATAATATAAATACATTGTTATCCTGGATTTATCAATTTTGGCAATTCCCTCTTGACTTCCTGTTAATATGGAGTCGTAGATTCAGCTAATACTACCATCCTCTGCCCTCATCTTCATACAGGATAAGTCATAATTTAAAAAAAAATCAATAATTACAAAAAATTGAGTATGCAATGTTATCTTTTGAGCCAGCTACTGTATTGCAGTAACACATCCTTTCATCCGTTCTTGTACAAAATTTTGTTTTTCCTAAAGTTAACAATTGTCTCGTTTTTTTATTTGCATACTTTTCTGTGTACCTGATGACATTTTCTAAATTCTCCATTTGTCAAGTGTTTATAATTACTCTAGCACAGTAAAAATAGGTCACATTCATTTCCCTCCCTTCCTCACATCTCCCTCTCACATGCCTCCCAACTCTTAGCTCTTGCCTGGACTGGCTGCACTCTGGGCTGCTGCTCAGCTATATCCTAGAACTTTCCTTTACTGCACCCGTGTTGAATCGCTTGCTTCCTGGATTCAATACATTTTTCCTTTTTGGTTTATGGCCTCTTTCTGGTAAAGCACATCTAGCAGTAAGTAGTTTCCTAAGAGGTGGTGTACGGGAGTAAAGTTTTTTTGTTTTGTTTTTTTCCCTCCTTAGGCCTTGCTGTCTGAAAATATGCTTATTCCATTCTCATACTTGATTAACTGGGAATATTCTATGCTCATACTTGATTGGCAGGCTATATATGCTGTACTGCTTTCCAAATAAAATTACTTACTGTCAGAATTTGAATCAGATGGCTTTACTATTTTCCAGTGTTCTGCTGGAAAGCTTGGTACTCTTTGTTTTTTGCTATGTGACATTTTCTCTCTCTTTTGAAGCTTTTTGATGTTCTGTTTATCCCTGCAACTGATAGTCTGCAATTTCATTACAACTTGGAATCGGTATTGGTAGGCCTCTTGTGGTATATTCTTCGACTCTGCCAAACAGATGGAGGTTTTAACTCTGCCACAGTGAAGAATGTCGGGAATTACAAGTGTCTCTTGGGAACTGTTCAGTGCAAGAATACACGAACACAGTAGCAACCCAAGAATCAGAGGTCATGAGTGTGACTGCTGCAATGCCTCCTGACCCCATAAGGCTAGTGCTGCTGCAGACACATCCGAAGTGTCCCACTGTGCCAGCCAACCATAAAAGCCAGAAGGATGGCCCTGCCTCACGCCCCCTTTCCAACCTCAACAAGTGCATCTAATTGGCAGAACTTCACGTGCACTCAGAACCCTCACTAGACACGTTATTTTGGCCACTCTAAACCCTACAGATCAGAAAACTGGAATACAGGACAAGGACTAAGTCACCACCACCGCCATAGTGCACATATGCAGAAGGATAGCGATCTGTATGCCCATCACACACCTACAGGAGGGATGAGGGGCTGCCGCAGAGATAGCCATGGCCAGAGGTGTCAGGATTAAGGAGCTAGGAGAGCATCATGGTCTGACATGAGTCAACCTTTTTTTTTTGTAGAGGAGGACATTTCACTTATGTAATTTATACCTAGACTCATTCCACAAAGGATAGAGGGAGAAAGAAGAGCTACGTCGGTAGGGAAGGGCAGGGGTATCGTAGTCAGCATTAACCTATGTAAAACTGCAGAATAAAAAGATTTGGGTTGTTTTGCCAAGTTGAAACATTTGATATGTAAGTACGCAAAATGGTAGAGGGCTGTGACTCATAAAATCAATGGTTCAAATTTGATACGAGACAACTGTCAGAAGTCCTGATATTTCTGACCAGTGGAACGAAAATGAGAGGATAACTATCAAAACAAAAGCTTGTGTAAACCTTTTTAAAAATAAGGCATCTATCTACCTGGGTCATTCAGTTAGGAATGGGACAAAATAGAAAGCTCTTTTGGCCAACTAAAGGATCCACATTTTATATGCCTTTAAAGTTGCAGATACCAATCTCAACGCAAGGACCTACTGTGCTAAGGAATATACAATTTTTAAGATAATGGTTACAGCCCACAGTCTATAACATCTCAGTGTATAAATTCATATTTTTGCAAAGGGGAAGACAATCTTGCAAAAACACTTTTGTAGTCTTTTCCTTGTGTGTGTTTTGAGCTCCAATATTCTCATATAAGTTGCTTCTGAAAGCTCCTTTGATTTTCATCTCCTTCTCACAACTGCATCAACAACAAACTCCCTTCTCAATCTGCCCATGATTTCTTTTTATCAGCAACAGCCAAATTAGGAATACTTGCAGCGTCACGACAAGATTTCACTTGCTAAGACTAAGTTAGAAATGCAGGATCTATATATACCTAATCTTTATTTTAAAGAATATAGGATGTCACAGAATTTTAAGCAACTTTCACATAACTAATCTTCATATTCATTAACCAAGGCTACGTAAAAGACACAAAAATAAATTAGAGGTTCAAATGCCCAATGTTTATGGAAGCATTCTTCAAATGAGCAGGTATAGACATTTAACATGTTTCAGGGGTTATTTAAGCCTTATTTTTACACTTCTATATTTTATATATTTTATATTTCTCTAGTGTATGCCCCAATAAAACAGATTCTCAGCTAGTAGTTTTCTTAGATGATGGCAGCGAGCAAGTAACATTTGTGTCTGACCAAAATCTTTTCAACACCATCTCTAGAATTCGGTAGAGTTACACTTCTCAGCTCCACAAGGGTGCAGACATCTGACTTTAGTGCCCATCAGTCGGATACACCAACGTAAGGCAATGGCAGAAATGGGTTAGATGAGGGGGAAAAAGGCTTGGGACTTCATTTTGCCGGTGCTGGCGGCAGCAGTTACAGGGGCTCTGGGGCCTGTGGTGGTGGTGGTGGTGGTTGCAGGCTGCTGCCTGCAGAGGTGTGGTTAACTATGATTTCAGGCAGTAGCTCTGCTCTCCGGCCAGTGCTGCTGTGTCGTTCTGAAACTTGGTCTTGAAACCTCGGCCTGTTCTGCTAGCCCTTCTAAAGAGTCTGTGTTTAGTGCCTCCCTTCCTACTTACATAAGCTCAGCAGTTCTCAGAGGTGTGTGGTTCAGGACCCTGGGGGTCTCTAAGACCCTTTCAGGGGGGTCTGTAAAATCCTTTTCCAATTACATATGCATGTGAAGCCAGCTTTTATTATACGTCAATCAAAACAATATCACAACAGATTGCATGCAGAAGACGACATGAGAATACAGCTGCCTTCTATTAAGATAGACATTAAAAAGAATTGCAAAAGAACAAAACAATAGCATTCTTCTTAATTGTTTCTTTGTTTTGGAATATTTTAGTTATTTTTTAAATGTTATTTTATATTAACACATAACGGATTTTTAATGCGTTAATGAATTACAATGAATTAAATAGTTTAAAGATCGCTTAATAGTTCATTCAAAATATAGTTAAGTATCAATAGATACACCACACATAAGTAAAAGCTCTTTGATGTCTTAAACAATGTAGGGACCTCAAAAGATTTTTAAAAGTATGAAAGGGCCGTAAGACCGAAAAGTTTAATATCCACTGAAATAGAATAGATTCTGTCATCTTTATCTAAAACCATGTAAAACAGAGAAGGCTACATTTTTAATTCTCACCTGAGACTTGAGTGACTATAAGAGAGAAATTGGTTAGAGAAAATATTTGGTACTGCTCCCGTAAAAAGGAAAAGGATAGGGAGATGTAAAAAGCAGCATATATTAGAACCAAGGCCAAGAACCTATAGGAGTGTCTGAAAGAGGTGTCTATTTTTACAAATGAAAGATACTGAGGAAGACTTATTAGAACAAAGTACCCAGAGGACAGAGAACTTATACTGAATACTTATTAATCATAAATGTTTCTTAATATTCTCACATAGCTTCCTACTCATGGATCATGCAATAATCTATAATTCATTATGAGTAGCCAGCCCCCGCTTAGAGGAGTCAGAGGCAGCTTTAGTTCCAGTGTTTACAAAGAGGAATGCCCAGCAAAAATGCTTTTCTTGACCAGGAATGGCTTGAGAAATCTTTGTATGTCCAGGAATCTTAATTGTATCACTCTGCTCATTCCGTTATCTCTTCTTGGGCAACGTCTAGGGGGGTTGACATATGGCAAGGTCAGAACACATTTAATCACAGAATAAATATTTAACTTGATTAATAAATTCTCTCAGAGTCATTTTAGAGTTAAAAAGGTGAAAACCCAGGTCTCTGAAGAGTCATCTGGTATAAAAAACCCAGAAAGTGACAGTCTCATTAAACCTGGGAAATCTCCTTTGTTTGGTTGGAGTGAATTAGAATCACTTGCAATCCATTTAGTCTTCAGTCAGTTATCTTTTCATATGAGAACATATGAAAATCCAACAGAGAGACTTTATGCTGAAATGCAAGGGCTCTGTTTCACTCATTTCAAAATACACAGAGGCTAGCAGAATAACTGGCACATTGTAGACAAATGATCAACACTGATTAAATGAAAGAATCAACTGAATGAATAAATGAATGAACAAACGAACTCACCAGGCACTATTCAGTTCATTTTCCTTCCTAATTGATCACTGAATCAGTGGTTAACTGTGGCTGAATGTCATTCTTATTCTGCACTTATCAAAAATACTGTCCTGATCAGAAATTATCATTAAAATTGCTGATACATCATTAACAATCACTATTACAAAGTTTGCTCATTATAAACTATTCATCCAACAAACATTTGTTATTTACTAGCAGAACGTGGCTTTAGGCTTGTTCTTACTAGTTTAATAATAGGCATTATTATACTTTGATTCATGATAGGTCAAGCAACTGACATCAAATTAAGAAAAAATGCTGGACATAATTCAATTCCATTGAAACATTTAATATATACAATTCCATGGTATGAGCCTTGTACATAAAAGCTCAGCCTATAATTTCCCAGAAATCCACAAGCAATGTAATATTAAAGTGTTTAAACTATGATTACACTAGAAAAAGCCACAAGCTTTGTGTGACATTTCCTGAAAACTGTTCTTTTAAATGTATCCACGTTAGTCTGAATTTTCTGAGAAATAGGCGCTGAGGTGACATTAAGCGTGAAAGGGATTTATTGGAGAGACTTTTGTGAGTTACACAGAGGAGGAATAGGCAGAGTCTAACACCTGTGATGGGGAGAGGGAAGGACAGGACTGGGTAGGAGTCTCAGACAACAGCACGGTCCTAAGGAAATTCTGGGAAGGTGAATGGTGAGTCCTTGAACAAACATCATCCATCAGGGGAGGTGCCCATCCTAATCCTTCACTGAAGCCCCACCACAACTCAGGGACAGAAACAGCATGGGGGAAGCGTGGCCTCAGCAGAAACACAGTGGTGGGCCCCATCTGCAAAGCTACGGTCATAATCAACTCTCTCCCCGCCCCCCACAAGAGAAAATTTGAGTTTTGCGTTTCCATTGCCACCAACAGCACCGTTTTAAGTCTTTAGGTTTTTGTGTTTGATGAACATGAAGACGATAAATGTTTTCAATGCCACCAAATTTTACCTATATAATTGATAGCTGTCATGAATCATGTTACTATTAACAGAGGTCAAGGATTCTATTATCTTAATACAAATTAATTCAATTGTTACATATTTATATTAGTTTTTGAAGTCTGTAAGTTGTCTTTGTCACATATGATGATTAGTGTGGAACCCAAGCAAAACTATACAATCCAAAATAATTTAACACTATTTCTGAAATGTTAACTTAGTAAAAACCTTCACTAATTTGGGCTAATTGGAGGTTGACTAAATTAGAGCATAGTTTTTTTAGGAATGTGGCTATTTGCTTAGGAGAATACACTGTAACTGCAATTAGAAGTACAAACGTTGACTAAGAGAGACTGGTATAAAGACTGAACGACTAGTCCCAATTACCACACTAGTTAGTTTGTTTCTGTGGAGAATACACTTTGTGAAAAGTGTATTCTCTTAAATAAATCTCCCTAGAAACTTCTCATTGCAGGTATTATTCATATCCAATTATCGCCCACTGCATTCTGTCTTCTACAGACCTTGCAAATCCTTTCTTCCTCAGTAATTTAAGTACAGCCTGGGGGCTGAAGGCCAATCTCTGTGACTGAGTGAGGCCATAGGACAGCAAAGGACGCCTTCAGGCAGGTCCAACCGTTCCCATCCTTCCAGATCTGCAAACTGGACTTGACTTTTCCTGACCCAGTTTGTTATCCAGAGGCCACAGGGGCAGAAACTACTGAGTCATCAAAACTGACTAAGCTGGTCCTTTCTACACCCTGCTTTTCTCATATTTGCCCTCTGTACCTGAATTTTTATGTTTTACAAACTAATGTATATATCAGCTCAGTTCACCTATGCAAACAATCACTACGATTCCAACTAATGAGTTTTTAATGTTATCATAGTCATGTAAAACAATTTCAATTCAAGTATTTAAAATTTCAGTTTCTTAGTCTTTTCTCCCCAGGAGGCCTAGAGGCTTAGAAACATACATTCATTATTTAAGGACAGATAACACTGAGAGCTATGTGCTATGCACTGCTACAAGTGGTTTACATGTATTTAGTCACTTAATCTTCTCAACTGCCCTGTGAGGTAGAACTAATATTATCTCCAATTTACACAATAAGGATACTTAAGCACGGAGAAGTAAAAGAACTTACATAAGGTCATACAGCTAGAAGGTAGTAGAGCCAAGATTTGTACTCAAGTAATCTGGTTCCAAGTTAATGATTTTTAGGTTGTTACTGTGGCCTTCTGAAATATAATGCACTACTTCACTCACATTTAAAAAGCCAGTATTACCTAGCACATGGCAATACAATCGTTAACAAAAGTTGCTTTATTTATATGTGCATTTTATAAGCAACTGATTAAACTAAAACATGATGGAAGAAAAGTCTGCAGGTATAATCATCACTTATATATCCCAATACTTTTAAAATAAAATCAATGTGTAACGCAGAAATACTTTCCTTCTCCTAATTTATAGCAGCATATATTCTTCCAAAGCCATCACATGTACTTTTAAACACATATAGAAATTAGAAGATCAAAGGGTATACAGAAAAAATAATCAGAAATGAGTTAATTCAGATGTATATATTCAGAAAAAGAGACTGAAGTTAATGATGGGTGGCTTAAAAATCAATACAGCGTCCTTTTCGTTCCCAATCTCCATATCGGGTAGGTTCTGGGCCCCTGGGTCCACCTCTTTCTTTGGTAACAGGATTAACATCATCTGGAAATTCTAAAGAAAGAAGATGTGAAGAGAGCAGTCAATAGGGACGAGAAAAGTATTATGGTCAACCTTGAAGACAAGGTTGCAGAGTTACACAGTTAGTAGGCTAGATACTACTGACCAGGTTACTATGCAGTCTTGAAATATGGTTCTTTTTCCTGAGTCTGAAAAATCACTTTAGGATACAATTTTCACATTAAGTCAACTTTACTACCTATGTAACTGACTTGGAATTCTCAGTACTCCCAGGTTCCGAGCTGGGGAATGGCCGCATATGTGCTGCGGAATTAAAATAGAAAGGGGTACAAATCCATAGGGTTTGGAAGGTTTTGAAACAAGGTTACTTTGAAGATATTCGGTTAACTTTAGCTATGAGTATTACTGTTCCTTATCATAGGGTGTTGGCTTCAACAACTGGTTAGCTGGCACTGCCGCTTATGGAAATAGCAGCAGTTATTACTGGTACTGCTGTGTGCACAATAGGAATCCCCGTCCTGAGGCCAATTCTGAACACTTTATACATATTAACTCAATTAATTCTCAATTAATCCTATGAGACAGGATAAACGGATTTATCTGTTTCTACTGTGAATAAACTCTCCCTTACCCTCTTAATCATTTTGTTTTCTAAAGAACTCCCTGCTTTGACTTCCTCTGAAAGCCTTGCTTCTGGAAGCTCTTCTCACTTATCTCTGGGGCTTACTGGGTGTCTTAGTCAGCTAGAGCTACTATTAAAAAAATGCCACAGGCTGGGTGGCTTATACAACAGAAATTTATTTTTTCAGTTCTGGAGGCTGGGAGTCGGAGATCAGGGTGCCATCATGGTTGGGTTCTGGTGAGAGCTCTCTTCCTGGCCCGGAGATGGCCATTTCTCACTGTTTCCTCACATGACAGAGAGAGAGAAACAGAGGGAAAGAGGGAAAGAGGGGGAGATGGGGACAGGGGGACAGAGGAACAGAGGGAGAGAGGGGAGACGGGGAGAGGGAGAAGGCTGTCTAATATCTCTTCTTATAAGGGCACTAATGCCATCCTGGGGGCCCCAGTCATGACCTCATTTAAACCTAATTATCTACCAAAGGTCTCATCTTCACATACCATCGCATTGAGGTCAAGGCTTCAACATATGGATTTTAGGGGGACATAATTAAGTCCCCCTGGGGAGGAAAGAAAGCATCAAAATAGTTCTACTCCTCATCGCTACTCCCACCCTCTCATGCTATCATCAAATCTCTACAGCCTTTTCTCTTTTAAATTCCACACCATTCACTCATCAAATGCTTTTCTCCAATCTTGTAATAAACTCAAAGGGTCTTCCATTTTCTTGGATGGAATCAATATTTGGTTTGGAGTTTCATCTCTCTCCCCATCATGCTTCATAACAACACCCATATTAATGAATCATCACATATTAGGGCTCCTGAGGTCCCCAATCATCTTTCCTAATGATCTTTACCTCGATCTGCCATCCACTTGGATTTTATCTCTTGAATATGTTCCTTTTCTAAATCCCACACTCTTGAGCTCTCTTTCAGACCACAAGCTCCTATCCTTCCATCTCCTTTCTTCCTCGTGTTTGTTTAACCTAATTTTCACCCTCATAACCTACAGTTTTCTGAAACTCTTTATTCCCACCACTACCACCCTGAGGCCCAGTCTAGACTAATGCAATAGTTTTCTAACTCATCTCTGCTTTCTGACTCTCATGGCCCCAGCCTAACCTGCACAGAAGGCAGAATTAATCTTCCTAAAACAGAATCCCTCCTCACACTGCACTAAGTGAAAGAAGCCAGACACAAACTGTATGATTTCATGTATAAAAAATCCTAGAAAAGGCAAAACTATAATGATGGAAAACAGATCAACAGTTGCCAGGGGGAGACTAACTGTAAAGAGGCATGAAGGACTCTTTGGGGGATGGAACTATTTTATACTTTGTGTTATTTACATGACTGTAAACATTTGTTAAAATTCACTGAACTGTTCAGTTAAAATGGATGAATTTTAAAACGGGTGATTTTATGACATGCAGATTACACTTTAGTGAAGTTGATTAAAACAATCTCCATCCATCAACATTTAGTGCTTTCCTTCCCGTCCACTGCATGGAGCCCATACACCGTAACCTAGCATTTCAGGCCCTTCCAGATTTGAGCCAAATCTACCTTACTAGCCTTTATATTCCATCAATTCACTATATACACTTTATGCTGTAGCCAAAGAGGCCCATTAGCTATCTTGCACATGTCATGTTCCCCAGTCTCTTTCTCTTTGTCCAGACCTTTCTTTCTTCTGAAACATCTCCTCACGGCTCCTTATCTAGTTATCATGATTTTATTGTTCCTTTAAACCCCAGATCAAATGTTACCTCTTTTGTCTACCTTTCTCTGATCTTTTCCTACACCTCTCTCATGCCAGTTAACACATGCTCTCTTGTTCATAGTTTTTTAAAATCTCATTTTCCTTTCTAATTCATCTTTACAGCAAACAGGGTGCCAAGCTGCAAATGATCTTCCTTTATCATCTTAATAATGAACTGTACTCCTCACAAAGAAACCACCTATAAATTTTTCTTAGAATGAAATATGTACCAGAAGCAGGGAGACAGAACTAGAGGAAGGAGACACGGAAGCAGACAGACTTGTTAGGAGACCACCAGAACTGGAGACAGCTTGAATTTGGGCTATGTGATAGGATCGATAAGAGGAGATGAATCTGAGGGACATTCAGAAGGATCCAGGACACAGGAAGAGGCAGGAGTGAAGGATTATTCCCCTGAAATCAGGCTTGGATGACCTGGTAGACGGTGCAGACTGGAAATCCAGAAGAAAGAGGACTAGCGTGGGTCTGGTAGGAGGGAACGATGAGGAGAGGATGAGTTCAGTTTTTGGCATATCTTGAGATATAGTTGGAATATGCAAATGAAGATATCCAGGAGGCAGGTGGCTATAGGAGCAGCTCAGGAGAGAGGTCTGACTAGAGGTATAAATATGTGAATTACCAATACATACTTGATATTTAAGACCATCTTGGGAAAATGTGAGCTCTCTCTAGGAATGCTTAAAGGGCTAAAGACAGAGAGGCCTGGGAAATACCTACAATTTGGAGTCGGGCAGAGGCGGAAGAGATTAAAGAGCCAAAAAGAAATGGTTGAAGAAATAGGATGAGAAAGTGATGAAAATATAACCTAACCAGATTTCCAGAAGCAGTGGTTAAGACTGTCAAAAGTTGTGGATAGTTCAAATAAAATGAGGACCGAAAGGCATCTGCTGGATTTGGTGACATTTGCCAAACCAGTTTCTAAGAGAAGATATGTTCAGCATAAACTTCAGTGAATCAAAATTAATTGACTTAAAATTCTAAATTACATTTTGAAACGTTTCCCTTTTTTCTTTTTTTATTGTGGTAAATATAGATAACATAATATTTGTTATTTTAGCCATCTGCAAGTGTACAATTCAGTGACATTAAGTACTCACAATGCTATGTAATCATCACACTATCTATACCCAGAACTTTTTGGTCATCCCCAATTTAAGCCCTGTGCCCATTACATAAAAACCTTCTCTTCCTCCCTCCCGCTAAGCCCTGATAACTTCTACTCTACCCTCTGTCTATAAATTTGCCCACTCTAGGTACCTAATATAAGTGAAATAATATAACATTTGCCCTTCTGTGTCTGGCTTATTAAACTAGGCATGTTTTCAAGGTCTATTCATGTTGTAGCATATATCGAAATGTCATTACTTTTAATGACTGAATAGTATTCTACTGTATGTACATACCACCTTTGTTTATCCATTTATCCATCAATGGACATGTGGGTTGTTTCTACCTTTTGGCTATTTTGAATAAAGTTGCTATAACCAAGGGTGTACAAATACTTGTTCAAGTTCCTGCTTTCGATGCTTTTGAATATATATCTAGGAGTGGAATTCCTGGGTCATAAGGTAGTGCTGTGTTTGACTTTTTATGAAATTGCCTGTTTTCCATCTGTATCAATTTATATTTTCACCCAAAACATATGAGGGTTCCAATTTCTCCACACTGTTGTCAACACCTGTTATTTTCCAGTTTTTCTTAAGCTATAGCAATCCTAATAGATGGGAAGTGGTATCTCATTGTGGTTTTGATTTGCATTTCCCTAATTATTAGTGATGTTTATCATTTTACATGTGCCTGTTGGCCATCTCTATATCTTCTTTGGAAAAATGTCTATTCAAGTCCTTTGCCCATTTTTTAATTGGTTTGGGTTTCTTTTGTTGTTGTTGAGTTGTAAGAGTTCTTTATATTTTCTGGATATTAATCCTTTGTCAGACATAGAATTTGTAAAGGTTTGTAAGTATTTTTCCCATTCTGTAGGTCTTTTCATTTTCTTGATAATGTTCTTTGATGTACAAAAATTCTTAATTTTGATGATGTCCAATTTACCTGTTTTTTGCGTTTGTTGCTTGTGCTTTTGGTGTCAAAGCCATGAAATCACTGTCAAATCCAATGTTGTAAAGACTTTCCTCAATGTTTTCTTCTAAGAGTTTTATAGCTTTACCTCTTAAGTTTAGGTCTTTGATGCATTTTGAGCTCATTTTTGTATATGGTGCAAGAAAAAGGTCCAACTTCATTCTTTTGTATGTGGATGTCTAGTTTTCCTGGCACAGCTTGTTGAGGAGGCTGCCCTTACCCATTGAATGGTCTTGACACCCTTGTTGAAAATCAATTGGCCATAAATGTGAGGATTTATTTCTGGGATTGCTGCTTTCTTTTTGTGTGGTGTTTTAAGGAAATATTTCCTTTCAGATTTCTGTGCTTAGCTAAAACCAGTAAAGAAAATTTTATCTTTAGGTTATGACAACTTTTAAAAAGTTGTCACCTTGGTTGATTGATCTTGTTATTAGATTCAGCTTGACAAAGTGCTATAAATTGAAATATTAACTGAATGAACAAACAACAAAAGCCTTTACATTCTAGAATGAGTTCCAGACAGAGGTCCCAGTATCCTCTACTGATATCTTCTTGCCTGGAATGCTTCCCTGCATAGCTAGGTTAACTCTCATATGACTGGAAAAATTAGACAAGCAAAGGGTAGCCTTGCCAAAGTCTCAGAATGGTTCACATTTATGCTAACATTTTATTTCTTGAATAGCTAATATTTGCACATATTCCACAATTCAAAGTTACAAAAGGGTATGAAATAAAAATAAAGCAGTACTTTAAAGAACAGAGCATTAGCATGAGCCAAATTTTATATATACTGATTATAAAATAATGTTTAGTCTATCACCCCACCTCCCTCAAAAAAAAAAAAAAAACTATTCTCGAAACTTCCCCTTCTCTTTCCTCAACCACATGGTCACAGTGAGAATAACCAATTTCATGTGTAACCCACCCATTGTACACTTTTTTTTTTTTTTTAAGATTTTTTTTGGGGAATTGGGGGGATGGGAACAGACAAGTTGCTGTCGTTTTTTGTTCTTCAGTCTAGTTGTGGAGGATGTTGCTTCACTGGCCCAAGTTGGCCCCATCATTGTGCTCTTCCCAG